AGGTGGAGCTGGAATCAGGAAGTGTTAAAACAGGGGACAGATGTTCTCCATTCTGCCCATAGACGCTCTGCTTCCGCCTCCCAGAAATGGGGTATTTCTGGGCTCTGAGACAAGCCTGGCTGTGTCATCAGTTCCTTGCGGCCCAGGTGTCCTCTTTCCCTGTCCTCAGAACACAGTCCACCGGCTTACCACCTTTCTCCTCGCTTCCTCTCCTTTCAGGGGCAGGGGCCGAGAATGGTGCTGGTAGTGGGGGGACACCTGAGGATCCAGGCCTTCCCAACTCCCCTTCTTCTTTCCTACAGGAACCGGGTGCTGTGCCCGGGAGGTGCTGGTCCCCGAGGGGCCGCTGTACCGCGTGGCTGGCACAGCCGTCTCTATCCCCTGCAACGTCACTGGCTACGAGGGCCCCGCCCGGCAGGACTTCGAGTGGTTCCTGTACAGGCCTGAGGCCCCAGAGGCTGCGCTGGGCATCGTTAGCACCAGGGACACCCGGTTCTCCTACGCTGTCTTCGGGCCCCGGGTGGCAGCCGGCGAGGTGCAGGTGCAGCGTGTGCGGGACGATGCCGCCGTGCTCCACATCGCGCGCCTGCAGGCCCAGGACGCCGGTGTGTATGAGTGCTACACGCCCTCCACGGACGCCCGCTACCTGGGCAGCTACAGCGGCAAGGTGGAGCTGAGAGGTACTGGGCCCTGGGGCCGGGGGGGAGGCAGAAAGAAAGGCAGAAAGTCAGGGCCGGGAGGAGCTTGTCGGATCACCCCTTAGGCTTTGCAGCTGAGGAGCCTGAGGCCCAAAGAGGTTAAGTGAGCCCTGGCCGGTTTGGCTCAGTGGATAGAGCATCAGCCTGCGGACTGAAAGGTCCCAGGTTCGATTCTGGTCAAGGGCACGTGCCTGGGTTGTGGGCTCGATCCCCAGTGGGGGACTTGGGGGAGGCAGCCGATCCATGATTCTCTCTCATCATGGATGTTTCTGTCTCTCTCTCTCCCTCTTCCTTCCTCTCTGAAATCAATAAAAAAATATATTTAAAAAAAAAAAGAGGTTAAGTGACTTGCACAAAATCACCCAACCTGTCAGTGGCTGCCCTCCCAGTCCACTGCTCCTATTCCATTGCGCTGCCTCCTGGGACAGGGGAAGCATCCTTACAATGTCCGATCCCTTCTCCATTCCCCGTCAGTGTGAATCTACTCCATTCCTGGAGCTTCTAGATTCCAGATCTGGAGGAGTGGGGTAGGAGGAGTAAGGCCATGTGATATTCTTGCGCTCTTAAGATTCTTTGTCTTCTGAGAAGGAAGACAGAGCCACTTCTCTGAGTATTTCAAACAGCGGTCAGTCCCAAACATAAGGGTGAGTAGGCAGCGGGCTGGTTCTGATAGTCAGCGAGTGTTTATTGAGCGCCTGTTGTGTGCCCAGCACTGTGCTTGGCACCACTGAGCTACAGAAGAAACCAGACACCGTGAAATCTTCGCCCTCTAGGAGCGTGCAGTCTAAAGGGGTTGCAGGTAGGAAACAGTGACGAGGGCTGCCAGCTCCAGCCCTCCTTCACTCCGGCTGTTCTTTCCAGTTCTTCCAGATGTGCTGCAGGTGTCTGCGGCCGCCCTCGGGCCCCGAGGCCGGCAGGCTCCCACTTCTCCCTCTCGCCTGACGGTGCACGAGGGGCAGGAGCTGGCACTGGGCTGTCTGGCGCGGACGAGCACGCAGAAGCACACACACCTGGCGGTGTCCTTTGGCCGAGTGGTGCCCGGGGCACCCGTGGGGCGAGCG